GACGCATAACACATTGACATGTTCTCCGAGTTCACTGTTTTGATGCTGACGCCCTGGCATTTGGAACATATCCGACGGGATGCAGACAACACATCATCAACATAACGACGCCGCGACAGTTGGGAATACAGTGGGTGCCCCTGAAGTCCAAGTGGGAGCCCTACATGAACTTCTAGAGCTAACCGTCCTCGATCCTCCTCGCCGCCAATATGTACACCTACGCACGCACTGGACATCGTTCCACCGATCGAGATCCCCGTGATATTGAAAATGAGCTCTCCCAAACTCTCAAGGGTTAGAGCAGCTGTCGCGACGACAGCGCGGCGCAGCCATTCCAGGGAAAGGGGCCACCAACCACGACTAGACGCCTGAGGATTATGAGAGACCTGATAACTCTTCCTTCGCTTGACAAGAGTATGTGCGTGATGGTAGTGATGACGACGATAGCGTTCTTCAGTGCGGGCCCACGCGCCGGCTAGTCCTGCACTGTTGCGCGCTTCGAAGGCTTGCTCAATATCCGCCGCCATGCAGTGGAGGTTGGCCGACATGGGCTCACGACGACACGAACACGTCAGATGACCATCTTCGCGAAATTGATGAGGAAGAGGGGGGCCCAGTTCGTCTTGAAGCTCCTCAAGACACCGTGCAACTTGATCCATATCAGGAATTTCACGGGATAGCGGTAAAGCAGTGACAGCTCCCCGTATACCTCGAGCAGCAATTTCCACCCGCGAGCATGGCAGATCGTACTCATGCCGATGACGCGCCCCCAGCATGAGTGGCCCGCCTTAGTGCTGATGATATTGCCAACGCTTAGATTTGACGAAGGCGAACAGCTTAGGTACAGTTGCGGGGCGTTTATATTGTCGAGGCCAACGGCGAAGAACAGCAGGAATACCGATATGAGCTTTGGCTTGCATCCAGATAAATACGTCCGGAAGAGTAAGATCAGTTCGGTATACCCACTGAGGATCTGCTAGCAGTTCATGTAGCAGATGCGTCACAAGCTGCAAACCAGGCAGAGACCAACCTCGGCCTTGGTGTCGGTCATCTTGCATGAGGCCATGCTTAAATGAGTGATGTGTGTGGCGTAGCTGGCGAGCAACTTCTTGAAGGGGGCGTTGGAGGTCGCGCCACTGTTGCGGGGCCTCAGAGTGTGAATAAGTGGAAAACCATTTCCGCAGGAACTCATGACCACGACGGCGGAGTCGAGGATGTAGTTGGAGTTGGCCGACCCAGGCATCCCAATTCTGCAGACTCTGTGAACGAAGCTCCCGTGATGT